GTTTCTAGCTTGGTTTTTTTTTTTCCCCCCCCCCCCCCCAAAAAAACCCCCCAAACAAGCAAACAAATAAACAAACAAAACACTTTTGGTCGATGTCCCTTAATTTGCCTGCAGGATCAAGCCCTATTTCTAGGTCTTTGTAATTTTTATCTTTTTTGTGGGGAAATAGTGACACAAAAACAAGTGACATGAAAAGCAACATAACAGAGTGACGGTCCAAATGTATTTGGTGTTAGTTACATTGTGGCAGCTATGCTTTTATAAGGCAAAAATGAATCTGAGTGCATTTTGCCCTGAGAGGTGCTTTAGAAAATTACTTATGATTTATTCTGGTGTGGCCAGGATTGTAGGGGAAGTATGTTGGATAAGCTCAAGTGTTAGAAATGGGACACCTCATGCAATTACCTTAACTATGTGCCATTGAAATTTCTGTTTTCTTTGAAGCGTTTTAGTGAGGAAAAATTAATTGTGTATCATAATTTCTCATTGGTGTTTTTGGATAAACATGTTTCTGGAGTGTTTGCTCTATGATTTATTTTATTTCATTTCATTTTTTCAATCGGTCACTCACAGGCCAAAAGAAGCTATCACTGAAAATGTGTAAATTTCAAGTAAAGCTATTTATATATGTATTTTTGAAAAAGCATCCAGTCACCTGCCTGGTTTTGATCTGGTTCCTAATTTTAGGTCCATATCCTACAAGTGAATGGGCATAGGCAACTGGAGCCTTATTATGAATAAAAAGAAACCTCTCCATAGATCCAATTGCAAGGCTTGTGCCTAAGTTTGCAGTGTTATTGCTGGTGTGCCCTGACATGAAGTGTTTCAATTTTTTAAAATTAAATTAAACTATGAGAAGCTTTCTTTTTCAGAAATGACAGTTCTCTGTAAATAGCTCCATGATCTATTTTAACTGGAACCCAGGCATGGGGTGGAGAGAGTTTCTCAGCTGCTAAGAATTGCCCCCATGTTTACTTGCTATAATGACACTCTATATAAGATTGTTCATTTAGGCTTACAGTAAATACATTACCTTTTTAATAAAGAATTTTATCTTGGAGCATATCCAGTCCATGAATGGCTGGTTGGAATTATTGAGTCTGCTAGAGCTACAGCTATGAAGCATTAGGAGACTGTAGATTCACCTACCAGGATGTTTGTTTAAATGTTGGGGGGGGGGCGTCCTTTTTTTTTTTTTTTTTTTT